TGTGTCGGCATTGGGAGGAGGAGCCTGCGGGGTTGAGGCCTGAACCTCTGAAGAAATGATGCTGGTTGGCTGGTGCATGCATCTTTGAGTGCAGCGGAATAAAGCGTTGGGAAAAACAGCAAGTAGGATTCAATCACTGATTTGGGAAGGAACTGTCACTATCAAGGTGAAGAAGCAAGCCTGGGTGATGACCTCAAGTAGACAGGAAGCCCGCAGGAAACAAGGAGAAACATCCTTCATCGTGTTTTAACCTCCTATTTCTTTTTAGCGCCCGTTATTGGCAGACTCTAACATCAAGCCAGCAAGTAACACAGAAATGTGGTTTTCAGAGTCCCAGATCTAGTACCACAAAGCAAAGTAAAGAAGGGTGGGTTTGGAGTTGAGAATAAAATAGTAACTGGCACTGTATATGTGATAGATTTGAACTGAGTCAGTTTAGCTAAGCTAGAACTAATTTCCCCAAATTCTCTTCTCTGCAACATTCCAGATTAGTATCAGTTAAAAAAAAAAGACTTTTGTGAACAATGTGAACAATGGAAGTGAAAAAATGGCTATGTTTCTCTTATGCTCTGAAGATTGAAGCCGGGAAAGGAGTGCTTTCGCATCTCACATATTTGGTCACTAATCTGCTGACTTGCCAAGTTGGCAAGCCCACAGCAGCTCCAGCTCCTGCAACATCCCCTTTCAGCTTCCCTGATACGTGGGCCAGGTGCAAGTTTAGCTTCATGATAAAGTGTACCAGTTTCCGCAGGATGCCTGTGTGGTTGAACTGGAAGTTAGAGGTAGTGAAAGTCAAATGTGGAGTCTAGTCCATCCTCATGTTTCCAGCTCAGCCTCATAGATTCTGGTTTATCCCTATTTCCCTTATTTCATATCCATCTTCACTTCCCAGCTACTTGCCCTGTGGACTTGAGGTTCTAGCACTAAAGACACAACAGCCTTATATAAACTCTCACCAGATATCACAGTTTATAAGGTCAATAAATCCCTAATTTTCCACATGTGCTCTGTGTGTGTGTGTGTGTGTGTGTGTGTGTGAGAGAGAGAGAGAGAGAGAGAGAGAGAGAGAGAGAGAGAGAGAGAGAAAGAATATATATATCCCGGTGGTTCTGCTTTTCTTCTGATCAAACTCTTACAGGCACAGTATAGAAAAGGGGGCATTACAAAATGTTTACTGTTTAAAAGGGTACTGTCGGCTCTCAGGCTTGAGTCCCACTGTTTTAGGGAACTCTTTGGCTACACGATGTGGTCCTAATAGAGCTGTGAATCATAATGATTTTCATCATGTCCAATTCTCAGCCACAGTGATTGTTCATGGGGTTAACAAACTAGCTGTGCCCATCTTGCATGAAATTGCCTATATGAATGTTAATAAAGAGGTTTTTCTTTCCTTATTTTCATAAACTGTAAGGATATCAGTGCAGGTTAGTCATCAGCATATTTCTAGCCATTTCAAGTCAGGCTGTTCTGTCTTTTTCAGCAGAAGTATATGAGATTGACGGAAAAAGAGGAGAAACTATCAGAAGAGAGCGTTGGAGAGAGTGGGAGTGAGGGCCTTGGCGCTTCACCTGGACTACTAAATCCAGCTGTGTTCTTCCAGTTCCATACACCAGTCACCTCCTTTTCTTCTTAAGCTCATTTGAGCTGGGCTTCAGTCAGTTGCAACAAGTGATTTATATTTTTTCATTTCATTCAAGAGAATTAAGTCATTTCTTGATTATGCATGATAATGGATGATACACAAGCATAATTTCCATCTGTAATTTTTTCTGGCACCATTATTCAATTTATATATATATTGCATAGGATGTGCCAACAATCATTTTTATAACCAATAATTCTATGATTTTGCTTGGGTAATCCCTTTTAATGGTGAACTTCAGGTTACAACAATAACTAACTATCAGTTCAACTACACCAAGGTTTCTGAAGACAGTAGCTTCTCCACCCAAGGAGGTTGTATATAAATTCCAAATAGAACCTGGCATCACCCTGAAGGAATTCTAACTTCACACTGTTGGGGAAATTTGCCAAGATGGCTTCAGAGTAGACTAACTTTACACAGCACATTAAAAAAAAAAAAAAGACACTTAATCAGCATCTCAATCAGACTATTACATCTAGCAATCAATGGCATGGGTGCAAAAAAAAAAAAAGATCTAGCTTAAAACCCTTTGTCAGAATGCTTTACACTTTCCACAAAACAGAAACTAAAATAACCTGTCATACAATTAGTCACAAATACAATCCATGAGATTTTTGCCCATACACAGGAGTATTTGTCTAAAACATTTCTTCTTTGTAGCAGCTAGGCCCTGCTACCACCGTGCTGGACTGAGTTCACAAATCTGTTATAACCTGTAGCTTCCCTGTCACTTCTCTGGCTCTCCTCTCCTGCTAAGCTTTGTTTCCTAATTAAAATCTTCTGCCACTGCCACAGCTACTGCTGCTACCGGAACTGCCAGAGCCACCTTGGTTTCGTGGTTGGGCAAAGTATTGGCCTCCACCACCACAGGGGCCAGAGCTTCTGCCTCCAAAGTTTCCTCCCTTCATGGCTCCAAAATTTGAAGACTTGTAATTGCCAAAATCACTGTAGCTTCCACCACCTCCAAAATTGCTTCAATCATTACCAAATTCATTATAGCCATCCCCACTGACATTATATCCATCACCACCATGGCTGCCACAAGGCCACCATGACCACTGAAGTTTCCTCCACAACCAAAGTTGTCATTCCCACCGAAACCACCTCCATGGCCACCACTGAAGTTTCCAGAACCACTTCGACCTCTGGCTGAATGAAGCACTAGCCAGCTCTTGCTTTACAGGGCTTTTCTAACTTCACAGTTGTGGCCATTCACAGTGTGGTATTTCTGAATGACAATCTTATCCACGGAGTCATGGTCATCAAAGGTTACAAAGGCAAAGCCCCTTTTCTTGCCACTGCCTCTGTCAGTCCTGATTTCAATCACTTCAATTTCTCCATACTGTTCAAAATAACATTAGGTGATGTTCTTCAGTGTCTTCTTTAATGCCATCAACAAATTTCTTTTTCATAGTTAAGTGGGCACCTGGTCTTTGAGAATCTCCTCTTGAGGCAGATCTCTTTGGTTCCACAACTCTTCCATCCACCTTGTGTGGCCTTGCATTCATGGCTGCATCCACCTCCTCCACAGTTGCATATGTGATGAACCCAAAGCCCCTGGAGCACTTAGTGTTTGAATGTCTCATTACCACTCAGTCCGTGAGCGTTCCCCATTGCTCAAAATGGCTCCTAAGGCTCTCATCAGTTGTTTCAAAGCTTAACCCTCCAATGAAGAGCTTCCTCAGCTGTTTGAGACTCTGACTTAGACATGATGGCAGGGAGAAGAGAGACTTTAATGATCTTGTGAATTTTATTTAGTTTTTTAGAGACAGGGTTCCACTCTGTCACCCATGCTGGAGGGCAGTGGAGCGAAAATGCTCACTGTAACCTCAAGTACCTGGGCTCAAGTCATCCTTTCAACTCCACCTTCCAAGCAGATGGGACTTTAGCTGTGTGCCACCCCACCCAGCTAATAAAGTTTTATTGAAACACAGCCATGCTCTTTGATTTATATATCATCTATGGCTCCTTTTGCACTACAATGGCAGAGTAGAGCAGGTGTCACAGAGTTCATATGGCCTGCAAAGCCTAAAATAGGTATTATTTCACTCTACAGAAAAGTTTCCAGAACTCTAATCTAAGCCCTGCTAAAATCAATGTTTTTTGCTCATTTAAATGTAATACTAGTAGCAATGCATTTCTTAGTATGTCAGACAATAGATATCCCTAACGGTTCACAGCCCAGTCCAGACTATGACACGCCCACACCTGTTTCTTAATGTTGGCTTCGTAAGCTGTCCAAAAATCTTAAGAACTATATAGCATCATCAAGCAAATACATTTAAAACAGCCTGGTTACTGGTATGCTCTCTTCTGAATTCAGAAATTCTATTTTACATATTTTAAAATATAATCTAAATGTAAAACTAGAGTATATTCACATATTCTCTTAAATGAAAATTCTCTCAAAATAGAAGGACTAGTCAAAACAGCACAAGAAACAGATAAATAAAAACTTCAATACATATATGGAGGAGTCTTCAATACATTTGGAGACATGTCTTATTCATTGTCAAAGTCAGTTGCAGTGGAAAATCGTATTTAATTTTCTATTCACGACATTAAAATTGCACAGTCTGAGAGCCTCTGGCCAAATAATTTTTACTAACATTACTTTTCCAGAAATGGGAAAAGAGTGTTTTTACTTTGAAGGTCTAAGAATTTTTTTTTAATTCAATAAGCTATTTAGGTTTCCATGTAGAAAGCTTATGTATTTAATTTTGGGTACTTAGGTAGAAGCTGTCATTCTTCTTTTTCAGAGGAAAAAAAACACATAATCTAGACTAGGTTGCTGCTGCTGCTTCTTTTTTTTTTTTAGCTTACAAAACAGAATTTTATTTAAAGTTGTATAGATAAAAATCTACCAAAATTTAAACAAAAACTTATTCAAATCCTTTCCCACACACACAAAAGATAGACATCATGGAAACAAAAACCACATTCCCTTCAAATAAAGTTCCCATCTTTCTACCATAAACTAGTAAATACTGGGAGGGTGAGGAGTAATACATAAACAAGCAGAGAAGATACTGATGCCCAACACAATTTCATCTTCAGTGTAGTCTCATCTTGAAAGGACTTAATTATGAGATTTCCATAAGAATCAGGATCCTTCATTTTTGACACAAAAATGGAACCCCCTAATCCAAAATCACAAATAAGGCTTCTGGTTTTCTTTTTAGTGTGAGGTAAACTGTATTAAGGCAAAGGGTAAAAACAGCGATTCCTTTTTATTGCCCTCCATGGAAAGTCACAGTGAGACACACGAATATGTAAGAGGAAGGTGAATAATTGCTTATGTTTTTCAGAGCATAAACTAAACTACTTCTGAAATTTAAATAGAAAGCTGACCAACCTGGGAATACTTGATGACAGAGCTTTCTTCTCTCCTCCTCCTCCTTCTAATTTTCTTCTATGTGAACAAATGAAGAGCTATTGGCATCCAAGATCAGTGGGGCTGTGAGGGTGACAAAACGGAAAAGCGTTATGAGACAGAAGCAGAAAACAGGAGAAAAGGGAGAAGGATTCTTCCAGGCTTCCATTGTGTCTTCCAACAAATCAATGACCAGATTTGTTGATCGTTAGTTGATTTTAAAAAGCAGTTTCTGCTCAGACACAAGGTTTGTTCCACATTGGAAAGGCTGTGTCAGTGGTCGTAGCTACGTGTGTGATTGGTGGTAAGGGTGAGAGGTGAGAGGTGAGGACTTACATAATGAAAGATGTATGTCTTTATGTTACCAGTTTCTATCAGTCCCTATTTTAATTGGGCCATGTACTCTATGCTAGTGTTTTCACTTAAGTGCCTTGGTGGGTGTTCGAATGGTTTCCAGGTGGAGGTTTCTCCTAAAGGACATGAAAAACCAGTGAACAGAAGAATTTGTCTTAATATATCCAGGTTTCTGCAAAATCAAATTCCTGGAGCTGATTCTTAAACCGTGGTCAAATCTACCACCCAGCCGGTAAGTAAGCATGCTCTCTGCCATCAACTAGGATTCAAAGAAGAAACAAAAATCTAGGCTATTCATTACGGCTTTATTTGATTCATTCAAAAACTATTATAAATTGGTCATGTCACTGGAACTCAAGAATGCAACAAACAGAGTGAAGTGAATTATTAGACCATTGGAAAGAAGCACTAAACCACGTCCATTCCTTGATTCCCACTATAGCACAGTTCAAGACTTATTTCCTCCCACAGTATGTGAGTTGAGATTTAATTGTTTGTCATAAAGGATCAAAGATCCAACCCTACTGTGGTAATGTGTCAAAAAAGCACCTCCTGACAGCATGAAGTGGAAATTGACAGTGGATATAAACCTGGATTCTATTGATAATAGTAGCTAACGTTTCTGAGACCTCACAACCTGTCAGGTACTGCATTAGGCAGTTTGCTTGGATTGTGTAATGTCAGATTAGTGGAAAAACAAAACTGAGCAATGTTTTGTTTATAAGAAAAAAAATCTAAACAAAAACTGTTAAAGAGAGAAAAGGCAGGTTTGGGGTGAAGGAGGGGAAGCTTGCTTTTGAGCTGAGTGTGCTGCATTCAGGATAACAATCTAGGAGGAAATTAGTTGTCTAAGTCTTCGGCTCCAAAGAGAGATCTGGATGAGAGATGTAGATTTATTTGTGCTTACAGGAGGAGGAGAAGAAGATTAGAATATAGAGGAGCACATCTATTTACGGAGTAGCCAAACACACGGAGACAAACTAGGAGACTGTAGCATCATACAGGCTGGCACCAGGTAGCATTTCAAGAATAGAGACAATTAAAAAACAGTTTATAGAAGAGATATGATAGCCATGAACATATACACATCAAATAACTTTGCAACTGAATACATAAAAAGAGCTTATAGAAATTCAAAAACCTAATCAAATTATAGTTGTAATTTTAAAAACATATCTTTCAGAAGTAGAAAGACTCACTACACAAAAAGGAAGGACATGGAGAAATTGATTAATATAAACAATAAAGTAGATTAATAAAATCATGTGTAATTTCTATCCTACTCATACAGACTGAATTTTTGTAGGACTATAAATAGTACAATATTGATGATACATATATATATATATTTGACTACAAAGAAAACCCTTAAAAAACATTAAAATATAGAACACTCACAGACCACAACAAAATTAGAAATAAGTAATAAAATGTTGACTAAAAATATTTTGAAGTTAAGAAACACTCTCTTAAATAACCCCAGCATCAATGAGAAATTTAAAATTGAAATTATATGCTATCTAGAAAGCATGGAAAGGGAAATGATTCACAATGAATATTTTATATTAAAACAATTTTATTTATAGTCAGAGAAAAATGTATAGCCTTGAATTCCTTTATGTTTACAAAAAATAAAATAATTTAGACCCATTGTTATGGGCTGAATGGCGTCTCCCTTAAAAAGTCACATGTTGAAATCCTAACCCTTAGAACCTCAGAAAGTGACTGAATTTGGAAATAGGGTCTTTAAAGAGGTAATTAAGGTAAAATGAGCTCCGGACGAGGGCCTAACCCAATATGACTGGTGTTCTTATAAGAGGAGATTAGAACACACATAACACACAGACCAAGGGATGACACCATGTGAGGACACAGCACAGAGGCAGCCATCTGGAAGCTGAGGAGAGTCCTCAGAAGAAATGAAGCCTACTGAGACCTTGATCTTGGACTTGAGCATCCATAACTCTGGGAAAAGAAATTTCTGTTGTTTAAGCCATCTCTTATTGCAGCTCTAGCAAATGAATATCCTCATTTTTTTTATTTTTGAGATGGAGTCTTACTCTGTCACCCATTCTGGAATACAATGGCGAGATCTTGGCTCACTACCACCTCTGCCTCCCAGGTTCAAGTGATTCTCCTGTCTCAGTCTCCTGTGTAGCTGGGATTACAGGTGCACACCACCACACCTGGCTAATGTTTTGTATTTTTAGTAGAGATGGGGTTTCACAGTATTCCCCAGGCTGGTCTCGAACTCCTGAGCTCAGGCAATCCATCCACCTCAGCCTTCCAAAGTGCTAGAATTACAGGCATGAGCCACCACGCTCTGCCGCCCATCTTAAGAATTACTAAAAGAGGCCAGGCACAGTGGCTCATGCCTAATACCAGCACTTTGGGAGGACTAGGCAGGCAGATCACCTGAAGTCAGGAGTTCGAGACCAGCCTGGCCAACATTGAAAAACCCTGTCTCTACTAAAAATACAGAAAACATTAGCTAGCCATATTGGTGGGCACCTGTAGCCCCAGCTACTCAGGAGGCTGAGGCAATAGAGTCTTTTAAACCTGGGAGCCGGAGGTTGCAGTGAGACAAGATCGTGCCATTGCACTCCCACCTGGATGACACAGTGAGACACACTCTCTCTCTCACACACACACACACACACACACAATCAGTAACAGAAAAATAAAATAAACCAAATAAACTAAGTAGTATAGTAGGAATTACCAAACACAAAAGATAAAATTATAGAATAGAAAACACCAAAATGGAAGATAAAAGCCAAATACTGATGCTAGGAAAACAGCAATAAAATACATAAACTGTGATTTGCCTGGATAGAGAAAAGAGATAGAAGAAACATGCAAGATTAAGAAAGGGAAGAACAGAGCTACAAATAAAACAAATACAAAACAAAAGAGATGAAAACAATTATTAGTACACCATGTAAAACTCCATGACAGCAATTTGATAACCTAGAAGAAATTAATGACTTACTTACAAAATGGGCAAAATTAACCCAAGAAGAAATAAAAAACTTTAACAGTCATTACTGTATGAAAGATTACAAAGGTAATTGAAGATGTGGCACTAAAAAAAATCTGATTATTTAATAGCTGAAGCTTTATTATTTAAAGAAAAGTAGGCACTGGGAAGATGTCGCTGTAGGACCAACTCAGGATTGCAGCTCCCAGGGAAACCGCAGATGGTGAGTGCATGCCGCATTTCCAGACAGATCTTTATTGCCCACAGACCAGGAGATTCCCAGGTGTAGGAGCTGCATGGGCCACCAGCGCAGCTGTTTGGGCCGGCACGGCTGTTTGGGCCAGGGCTGTAGTGCAGCGGCATTCCATACAAAATTCACTGATTTGGTTGCCCTGTTAAACCAGCAATTGGAGATTTCGGAAGGCAGATTAGCACATTCATCTGATTAAACGGGACTTAAACAGAAAGCCAGGCCAGGAGATTCCCAGGCAGCACCGTGGTTCCAGCCAGCACAGTGGGTCGCTGCACGGGAAATCACACAGATCCCGGCGCCCTTTCAGCAGGTGACTGGAACACCTGGGAGAGAGTCAACCATTCAACTTAAAAAAAAAAAAAAAGGGCTCTGAGGCAGGGAGCCAAATGATCAGGCTCAGCGGGTCCCACCTCAACAAAAACAAACAAAACAGCAATTTGAAACACTGGGGGTTGAGAGTTTCACAGCAAGCACAGCTGAACCCAGGATGGTGCAACTCAGAGGGGGAGGGGCATCCGCCATTACCGAGGCACTCGACCCCTACGGAGGTACACTGCCATTGCTGACGCAGCCTGCCATTGCTGAGGCAACCCGCCATTGCCAAGGCAACCCGCCATAACAGAGAGAGTCTGCCACTACAGAGGTGGGCCATCATCACCACAGCAGCTCTAACCACACCCATATAAACAGGACTACAGGGAATTACACACGGCAGCAGGGCAGAACCCACAGCAGCAGGGTGGAGCCCACAACAGCAGGGCTGAGCCCACAGCAGCAGGGCAGAGCCCACAGCAACAGGGTGGAGCCCACAGCAGCTCAGCATAACCACTACAGGCAGGCAGTGATTAGACTGCCTCCTTGCTGGGCAGGACAGTGCAATGGATACTCATAAATAAAGCCCTAACTCCCTGGGATAGAGCACCTGAGGAAAAAAAAGGGGCTTGCAGACTTAAACGTACCTGCCTAGCAGCCCTGAATGAACAACAGAGCTCACAGCTCAGCACTTGAGCTCCTATAAAGTACAGACTGTCTCCTCAAGTATAAAGTACAGACAGTCTCCTCAAGCAGCTCCCTGACCCCCGCATATCCAAAGAGTCACCTCACAAAGGACTGATCAGACTGACATTTGGCGGGCATCATTCAGGGTCAAAGATAGCAGAAGAAGAAATGGGTAGCAACCCTTATGATTCTGCAGCTGCTACAGGTGTACCCCAGGCAAGCAGGGCCTGGAGCGGACCTCAGTAGTCCTACAGCAGAGGAGTCAGACTGTTAGAAGGAAAACTAAGAAACAGAAATACTTCATCATCAACAATCTGGACATCCACTCAGAGACCCAATCAGAAAATCAACAACTACTCAGACGACAGGTGGATAAACCCACAAAGATGGGAAGAAACCAGCGCAAAAAGGAGGAAAACACCCGAAACCAGAACACCTCGCCTCCTACAAGGGACCACAACTCCTCACCAGCAAGGGAACAAAGCTGGACGGAGAATG